AGCCCATGCCAAGAAACACCCTGCTTACCTCCAGGGGGCCCTGGGTTTGTTGGGGTTCGATGGTTTTGCGATGGAGCGAGTGACGCTCTCGCACCAAAAATCAATCATCAATCGACTTCCTGGGGTCTCAGGCTTGGGTTTCTTGTGGAAGGTTTATTGTGGTCAGGCCCCCACTGTACATCATCCCTTCACGGTCGCCTCTCCTCGTCTCCTGCTCTCCCATTGCACGGTGGCGTCCAACACCTCGGTACGGTATGTTCGTGCGGCGTTGGCGCACTGGCGACGCCAGCGCAGGCGTTCGAGGTTGAATTTTGCGACTCGGAAGCACCGACCGACACGGCAACGCCGTTGGACCCGAACCGTCGAGGCCATGATCGATTCAAGGTTGAATGAATCTACGCAGTGTCAAAAACCTTTGCGCGCGCCGACGCCGCACGAACCGTACCTGGTCGATCGAAAGGGGCCAGCAGCGGCAGCAGCACGAGTCAGGCATCCGCGAGGTCGACGAGAGTCGAGGCGCGCCCAGTTCGCGGCGCGGCCCTTCGGCGCCTAGCAGCACAACGGGGAATCGTGGCAGCAGCAACGTCGCGCCCTGGACATCCAGGTGCGCTATGTAGAACTACCATCACTACCTGGCACTGCCAATACCACTAACAGTGCCCCTCCCACCACCACTGCAACCAGGACTACGACCATGGCCACCGCTACTGCCACCGCGTTCCACTCCCACTGCCACTACCGTCCCCACTGCCAGCACCGCGAATGCAGCGTCACTCGAGGATGGGCTGGCATTCCCCGCACCACGCCCTAGGTAGTTTCGCGGGGAGCCGTCCGCCCCTGCTGCTCCACAACATACGCAGACCTTTGGTTGACCATTCCCTGTCCGAGTCCATTACCATTGTCGCTACTCATGCCGGCTCGACATAACAACGAATAGCCATGCATACAGCGTCGCACAACCACCACCGTAGGATATACCTGTGCCGATCCTCCAGACCCAACCATTCAGATCGCTGCTGTGGTGTCGCCACGATTCGCGACCCAACGGACATGGATGCCGAATCAGGGGCGCTCGCCTTGAAAAAAAACACGGACATGAATGCCGAATCTCGCCTGGTTTCCTGCGTCTCTGCCCTGTCCCCTTACTTGCTCAAATATTGACCTTGGGTCTCATACCGATGGTGTGTGCAGTTGCACACCTTTAGTAAATTTTCTCCCACGGCTTCACCATTTGCTCTCCGTCGGAAAAATCGGCGAGCATGCACGCCATCAGTGGCAGTGACACTGTGGCCTTCAAACACGAGCTGCATCCGGGAACCTACGTCGGAGGGGAGCCTTGAGGCGGACTGGCACGGGATGTACCACAATACTGGCACCATTCCCAACGCGTGCAATGCTTCCAGCCCTGGCACCATCACCGACGCAATCACCAGTACCAGCAACGATTCTGGCTCCGACGGCAACATCGACAGCCGAGACGTCTCCAATTCTGGCGCCAGCGCCTCCACCAGCTTCGACGCCAACGCCGACGCCCGCACCGATGCCAGCACCAACGCCAGCCAGCACCGGCGCCAGCGCCGACAGCAGCAAATGCACCAGTACGGACGTCAATGCGAACTCCAGTTGCGACGCCGAGGCCAACATACGTGCTCCTCAGGTATGACGACAAGATCTTGTTAACCAGGTGGTGGAATAGTCCAACGGCCTCTCTCAACATGGCCCTGACCATCAGGACGCATTGCAGCGACAGGATCGTGACACCCACGTGTGGAGCGAGGGAAGTGCGGGGCCGGTCACTGCGGGCGTGCACCGCGTAGCAAGACTCTCGGCAGTATGATGGAGAGCAGTTGCGCGAAGCTGACGTCGACCATACGGTCGAGTCGCATGGCGTGCGGTCTGGCGCTGCACGGCTCGCCGGGTACCGACATATTGTCTTTGAGATTTTGATGACGCTGGTGCAATAACCGCATGCCCGCGATAACAAAGCATCCCCCCTTCACCCCTGAGTCATGGTTATCCATGGGATACTTCTTTTTGATAGGCGGGCGGAGCGACGAAGCCGAACTTTATTACCACCAGGGAAAGTACGAATCGTGTGGTCCCGAATTGTATTAACCGCCACCTCCGGATAAGCATTACCCCCCCTTGTCAGCACTGAGAGTTGACTATCCCGGGCCAATACAGGTTTGGTCAGGGGAGAGGTGGCAATGCCGAACTTCATTATCGCAGGCAAAAGTTGCGAATCGAAGTCGCTCTCTTCTCATGTTGAATAGCAAGGGTTCCTAAGGATTCCGATCGATTGCCTTAGGAGTCCTACGGATGTCCCTGGGAGTACTATGGACTTCCCATGGATCCCAATGGATTTCCTAAGGAACCCGATGGATGTCCTCAGGAATCCGCTGCGATCTGGCGAGTGTCGTCTTTCCCTCCCTTTCCGATCCTTTACGCTCTCCTCCCCTGCTCTTCTCCCCCTCGCGGGGTTAGGATCTGGACGTCTTTCCTGTTATCCCCGATGCTGCGTTGTCCCTGCGTGAAGTCGGACTCTGCTTCCTTCGTTTGGTTGCCGCTGCGAGAGGCATGATTTTATGAATGGTCGGCCAGACCGTTATGTCGGCACACACAAGATCCTGGCCTTTCCTCCCCGGCGTTGCTTATTACCTCGCGTTCCGTGCCCCTCCTGCTTGGGCCTTCGGGCTTCCTGGATAGATTCGTGTCGACGGTTGCCCTTGGTCACGCCAGTTCTTTGTGCCCGGATTTTTTTGGCGACCAATTCTTGGAGGCGTGTTGCTGGTGGCGTGTTTGAGCTGGAGAAAATGTATGCTGCCGTCAATGCTGTGGTGGCGCACGGCCGCCGAAACCGCCGCGCAGCTTACTTCATGCGTGGAGTGAGTTTACGAAGGGCGGCGGCATGCTCGCCATCTTCCCTCCGCCAGAGGACTCCCACGAGCTCCAACGTTGCTCTCGGAAGGCGAGCAACCACAAGAAATCCGGCAATTTGGGCTCTAGGCCTCTTCGGGAGCGTTTTCGAAATTCAACGATGGGGGTTGGGAGTTGCTGAAGACGCCATGGCGCTTCCTTCAGTGACTCACGGCACAGCGGTGGATGATGCCACCCGAAAACGCAGGTTTTAGGTTTGTTGTGGGCATGGTTGGCTTGCATTGAGCGTAGTTTTCCTCATCTTCCGTGTCCAGGGCGAGGAGGCAGAATGACGAGGAGGAGGAGGGGAAGGAGAACGAGGACGACGACGAAGAGGGCGGCGGCGAGGAGCAGCAGCAGGATGAGGAGGGGGACGACGACGACGAGGGCGACGGCGAGGAGCAGCAGCAGGATGACCTGACGACGAAGACGAAGGGCATGGGGGAGGAAGAGGGCCCAGCTTGGCTCCCCAAGCGGCGTGGACGACGACGACGAAGCCGACGACGACGTCGGTGACGACGGCGGGGTGGTGGATCCAGCCGAGGCTCGCGCTGCCGCCGCTGCCTTCCTCGGCGCCAGCCCCGACGAGCCGCACTTCGTGATAGGCGCCCGCTGATCGCTCTCGCTCACATCCCCTGCTTTGTTCGGAGGCGACGACGGGGGCGAATGGCCCAGGGGCGAGCACTACATGTATCCAGGGGCGCCGATGGTCCATGTCTTCGTCGAGGCTCCCAGAGGGATGCGCGTAATGCCCGCCCCTGGGCTATTCGCCCCTATCGTCGCCTTCGATCGGTGCGACCGATCTGGGTGCAAGAACGGGGACAAAAGACGGACAGCAGTTCCTGCCCATTTTGAAGAAAGTTTGTATTCGGCGACGCCGCGGGCCGTGTCCATTCGAGACAGCAGGCCGCCTGCCCGACAGCGGCCGCTGCCGGTTTTGGACAACCTGTGACGTTGGGCATCGTGCTAATTTGTTTCGTACCCATTTCGGGCGTCCGCATTGTTGCCGCCTTGGAGAAGCAGTTGAAGAACAACAGCGAACTTCATAAACATACCTTTCGGTAGGTATGCATGTATGCATACATGTACGTGTGTACATATGCATGTATGCATGCATGCACGCATGTATGTATGCATGCATGTATGTATGAATGCATGTGTGTGGTTATGTTTGTGTGTATGCGTGTCTGCATGCATGCATGCATCCATCCATGCATACATACATGCATATACGTATGCATATATGTATACATTGATGTATGCATGTATGCATGTCGGCATGTATGAATGTGTGTATATGTGTATGTGTGGTTGTGTTAGTCTGTTAATTTGCTTGTATGTACGTATGTGTGTATGTATGTGTGTATGTATGTATGTGTGTATATATGTTTATGTGTATGTATAACTGTATGTATGCATGTATGTATGTATGTATGTATGTATGTAACGTATGCAATGTATGTGTGTAATGTATGTAATGTATGTAATGTATGTAATGTATGTAATGTATGTATGTATGTATGGATGTATGTATGTATGTATGTATGTATGTATGTATGTATGTATGTGTGTATGTATGTATGTATGTATGTATGTATGTATGTATGTGTGTATGTATGTATGTATGTATGTATGTATGTGTGTGCACGTATGTTTGTATTTGTGTATGGATGTCTGACTGTATGTATGTATGTATGTATGTATGTGCGTGTATGTGTGTATGTATGTACAGAACTGTGTGGTGTTGTTGACCGTTTTTCGACTGAGGTAAGAGAGGTCCCGAGCGTGTTTTCTTCGGGGCTCCGTCCCCAGCCCGACTGGCCGTCAGAAGCCGACCCGGGGATGCGCAGCTGGCTCCAGGGGAAGCCCAGGCCCAGCGAGAGAGGGGCCGGGAGGGGGCACTCGCGGGCCCGAGAGGGCACGAGGGCAGTTCTTCTGTCCAGGTTCTGTTGAGTTGCACTTGGCAGAGCACGTGGGGCAAAAAGGTGCCGCGCCAATTCCTAGGTGACGTCGTCGCCCTCACTCGCAATGCCTCCGCCCTCGAGAACTCCTACGACCACATCAACTACGAGTGGCGAGATCTGATGGAGGGGATGCTGGGCAAGGACGGCGCAGCAATGTTAACCGACACGGGGAGGGGGAGCACGCCGCCTGCCAATTCCCGCCCAGCCCGAGTCCAGATTTGCTTGGGTTTTGCCACCCATCGAGGGGGGTCCGAATTGGTTCGGCAGGCTGGCAGGAAAAGAGAGATCGCTCCTGAGTTTTCCGCAGCGCTCCCGCAGCGTTCTGGAGCTCTCTGGATCGTCCACGGCGCCCGATACAGTCTGAGAAATTCCCGACTTGCATCTGCCCGATTTGGGTTTCTTTCTGCCGCCGTCGTCTGCATCAGGCTCGCAGGCGAGCTCTCGGTGCTCGGTACGTCGTCAGGCGTGTAGCGGTCCGCCTCGCCGCCCTCCGTCGCCTGTGGCCGTCTTGTTTTCGCCGGCGCGCCCCTGCAGCTGACGGATCGCAGGGCTTATCTCAATTCCTCCGATTCGATTCGATTCGATGTCGATGGATTCCGATTCCGATTCGATTCGACTTGGGATTTCGATTCGGGTTCCGATTCCCTATTGGAGGCATACTAGCCTGCCGATTTCCGCCGATTCGACTTTTCTCGATTCGTCTGCCGATTTCCTCCGATCCGATTCGTTTCGATCGCTGGTCCGACTTATCGATTCGATTCTGGGCTCTCCTGCGGATCGAGGAGGCCGAGGCCGAGGTGTGGACGACTCGACTGGTGGACGAAGGGGCGCTAGTGCAGGGGCTCGCGCCTGCGTTCGAAGCCGAGGCGTTTGGCGCTTGAGGTGGGCCTGCGGTGGCTGGCGAGTGCGCTCTTTTCCCATCTGGCCTTCGCTCATGGATTTATCAGGGGGGGCCATGGCTTGCGCTCTGTCGAAAGAAACGAACGAGTGGGGACGATACTGACAGCAATGTCTGCTCATTTCGAATCGTGCTCGCTGTGGGTTCCGAGGCTCGCGTGGTCCGTTCAGCGGCGTCTGCTCAACAGCAGCCGCCGTCCATGTGTCAGCGCAGTGGCGGCGAAGACAGAGGAAGAGCCCAGGGGGAGACAGCGCAAGCGACCGACTGGTGACCAATTCGAGCCAAGGAGTCCGCAGGCGACCCCACCGCAGGGCCGTCCTCGCACCGCCGCCCCCCCCGAGCGAGACGAGGCCGCAAGCGTGGAGCAAAGAGAAACAAGTATTATGATGTTCCAACCGACTTTAGCGCTGATCATCAGGAAGAACTTCGAGCACCAAGAAAGTACCGAAACTGGAGGGTGTTGGTGTCGGACCCTTGGAGACAGTACTCGTCCGACGCTGTTTCGATACTTTTCTGGGTGCCCGAAATTATTTCCGGGATGTGGTCCTTAAGTACGATGGGAGCAACGTGAAAAAAGTGGACGGAACCGTTGCAAGCGCACACGCGCCGGGACTCGCCAGCGGCATCTGCACCATGGCGGGCAGCGTCTGTTCTCTGGGTGCCGCCCCGATCGATGCCGTGCCTGCTTCGGGTGTGCCAGCCCAGCCGAGCTCTGCTGTGGAGCGGGCCGAGGGAGGACACGGGGAGGCCAAAACGCGATCGAGTGGGGCGTCGGGGAGCATTGAACGTCCTGACCACTTCTTCGAGCTGCGTCCACCCGTGGCCACAAGGGCCCCCCGACCCACGAACAGGAAAAGTGTTCAAGTCACCGCCGCACACTCCTCCTCAAACCTCCTCCTCCTCCTTTTCCCCCTCCTCCTCCTCCTCCTCCTCCTCCTCCTCCTCTCCTTCCGTAGCCATTTTGGCTCAAGGTCCCAATGTTGCTTGGCACAGCGCCAAGAGGCTTTCATGGCATACCCTTGTTCCAGGGCCAGCTCAGGAGTGTTTTTTTTCTGCTCCTTTTACATATTCACGCGGGATTGTCTGCCTGTGGTGCCGCGGCCACATCCATATTGAAGGTCGAGAAGCCAGACTCAGCGTTCTGCGAGGTTCTCTCAACATGCCCGAGACGTGCGACCTTGCCACCATACGTGATCGACGTGAACGGAGTCCTCGGAACAACAAAGATCCATGGCAAGACGCTGCGCAAAAGGAAAGACTTGAACTATTCCGCTCCGAGATCGAGAAGCACTTGGCCATTCAGGTCGCTGATGCAGCCGAACAGTTCAAGGCCACCGCAGAGAAAGTCGCCGCATCGTCTCAAGCCAGCTTCATCTCGCACATCACCAACATCACGGCCAATCTCACCGAGCGCCAAGACCACGTCGAGAACGACATCGTCTCCCTCAAGCAACGCGTCTCCGCCTCCGAAGTGGAGTCCAAGAACCTCAACGACTCGGTGGACAAGATCAAAACTGCCATTGCTCAGGCTGAAGCCCAAGTTCCCTCGCTCGACATCAGCAACATTGGCTCGTGGGACAGGGCTCCACACATCGGCACCTTCTGGATTGCTTCCACTGTGGACATCACACAAGCTTCTCTCAAGTCAGCCATCGGCGAATGGTTTTCGGCGGCCAACATCGACGTATCCATGGTCCGCTACAACAACTCCGCTCCTGCCAAGCGGGTCTCCATCACTGTTCTCGGAGCCGATGCCGTCGCAGTACCACGCGCCCAAGCGCTCCATCATCACCTTCGCATTGGTCGAGAATGGCGTACTTTCTCACGGTGCTCCATGCTACGTCAGCGCGGACAAGAGCCCCTAGCTCGTCAGGCAGGAGATCCAGCTCAAGAAGCTTGCAAGGATCATCAACAATGCCAAGCAGGACCTCAACCCCAATATCCACCGCACTGACGGCTACCTCTCCATCGACAATGTGCCCATCGTCCGCATCCAGGTGGGCTCCCGCCCTGAGATGGCGACCAAGATCCAATGGTCTGACGCTGCTGAAGGTGTCGGCCTTACATCTGCGATGCGTACTTCATGCGCCGACGCCCTTGCCGCTGCCTTTGCGGATGCAACCACGTCAGTGTCGTGGATTTAACAGCAAATGGACCCCTTGGAGCGCGACTACCACATCGTCTTTGGCCGAATGCTCGGTGGTCAGCTGGAACGCTCAAGCACTGGTGCATTCGAACATCGTCAAGCGCGATGCCAAACTCTCCATCCTCAAGCCCTACCTCGCCAAGCAGTCCCTCATTGCCATTCAGGAGACCCACGGCACATCGCAGATGATTCACACCCTCATCAACTCCACGGGTGCCAAGTACGACGTCTACCACAGCGGCATCCCCGACTCCAATGCGGCGGGCGGCGTCGCCTTCCTCATCCCTAAGTTCCTCCCTCTCGGCGACCAGGACGACGCCATGCCGTTGATCAACTTCACCGCGATCATCCCTGGTCGAGTCGCCGAACTGCGTATCCGCGACCCCAGCCTGAAGTACCTCCATATCTACCTCAACATTCACAACCATGATCTTACTGCTGACGATCGAAGACGGATCAAGGCCACGTGGCAAGTGGCACTAAGCGAAGCAAGCAGCGACCCTGAACATGTTATGTTCTTCATGCTCGGCGATTTCAACATCTCCGAACTACCTGCCCGCAGTCTATTACGTCCTGTCGAAGTGCCTGCTCACGAACGATACCAATTCCAGCCCGCATTCTGGAAGCAGCTCTTCCGCCCGCTGGTCGAGATTTGCACCCCGTCCACCACCCACCGCTGCTACGCGAACAACACCGAGTCAAGCATTGACCGCTTCTTCACCTCCTTCCAAGCTCATAATCTCACCCACGTTGAGACGATCATGGTGGCCGACGACTCACCTCTCGAACGAAGAGGGATCCCCGCCAGTGACCATAAACTCCTTCACGTCCGATTTCGCCCCCGTGTCCAACGGCCCCACTCTGAGCGAGGCATCCCCGCCTTCCTCTTCAACCCAGATTTCTACAAGTTCTACATCGACAAGCTCACCGCCGACGCCGAGTACGATTCGCTCACGCCCATCATCAAGTGGCGCACGCTGAAGGCCAACATGACGAACGCCGCGAAGGCCACGCGAGATGCTCTTGCGCGACTGCCGCCTGATGTCCTGGCACGCGACCACCTATCGATCTCCAAGGAAGTCAACTCGATGACCATGAGGAGCATCTCCCGCGCGGTCTGGTTCCAGGACATCAAGCTGGAGCGCCCCCTCATCGACACCACCCACCTGGGCTCCAAGCACCTACAGATCATCATTGACAACTCTTCCGACATCACCTCAAGCAAGGTCTGCCTTTGCAACGCCAACGCCTTCGCCGATGCCGCTGCTGAAGCCCATGCTGCAGTCGCTGAAGAACGTCGCGCCCTCGCCGCCGCACGTGCCCGTGATGCTTATCAACGTCTACAGCGTCAACAAGGAGACAGGTGGCGGAAACGTGCTAGTGTTACTTGCAGACTGGGGGAGCTCTGGAAACCTTTCTCCAAGCGTTTGGTGCTCGCTGGTATCCGAATCTCGCAGGGCGATTCTTCCATCATCGCCGAGACGCCATCGGACATGCACGACGCCATACTTGCGCACTGGGGCCCGATCTTCGCAGACAAGCCAATTAACATTGCCAACATGAGCGCCTACCTGGACACCGTCTTCCCCCAGCGTGACTCTGTTGCGCTGGAACTCCCCAACGTTGAAGAACTTCAAGAAGCAGCAAAACGAGCACATGACTCTGCCGCAGGTCCAGACGGCCTTCCGTACAAAGCTTGGGCTTCCACTCCTTACAGTTTCGAGATCTTGGAAGAACTCGTGGCTAACATCTCGGCCAACAACATTATCCCGCATGATGGGAACCACGCCCTACTCGCCATGTTACCAAAAGGTGACGCGCCTGCTGGTCATGCAGAATGCTTTCGGTCGCCTGACCAACTCCGCCCCCTCGCGATGAAGAACACTGACGTTAAGATTGCCGCCTCAGCCATCAGCCGCAAGCTACATCCGATAGTCAAGCAAGTGTCGAGTATCCAACGAGGCTTTGTTCCTGGCCGCCAGTTCCTCAACAACATAGTCGAAGCCGGCACGTACAGCCGCATCTACAGCACCATGGACAACGCCAACGAGCACATGCCCTGCTTCCTAAGCATGGACATCGCAGCCGCCTTCCCAAGCTTGCTTCACGCCTGGTTATGGGAAGTGATTCGCAGATGGGGGATTGATGGACGAGTCCGTCGCCTCCTCCAGTCCTTCTACGCCTCGCCCATCGCCTTCCTCGAGCTGGGAGGCACACGTCGACCTCTACTCGTTGCATCCAGCGGAGTAGCCCAGGGCTGCCCGCTCAGTGACACCATCTGGGCCCTGGTGTCCGACCCCATCCTACATGGAATTCAACGTCACTTTCATCAGATTGGCCGTGGCATGGCCAGTGCTTGTGCAGATGACATTGGTTGCGTCTTAGCACACTTGCGTGACATGCAAGGCATCCTACCGCATACCGATGCGGCCCAATCCTTCGCAGGGCTGATGCTACAACCTCGGAAGTGCGTGCTCGTCCCTGTATGGACCAACCGCATCGAAGACGTTGACGACGCCATGCGCGACGCGCTCAGGACGATCAACCCCGCCTGGTCCCAGTTCAAGATCGACGGCAAGGCCAAGTACCTCGGAGTCTACATCGGCCCCTGTGCGGGTGATCGAGCTCAATGGGCAGCACCCGCGGCCAAGTGGTACCATCGTACTCAGATATTGGGCGACGCCTCCGCGGCCATCCAGCTGAACGTTTCGCTGTACAACTCCTCCGCGATCACTTGCCTCACTTACGTTGGACAACTATTCCCTGCTCCAGAACTCGTTCTTCCCAAAGAAATGCATGCTCTTCATAAAGTTATCAGATCTGCTCCTTCAGCATCCACCAAGCTTGACATCCTTGGCATGACGAACTGGGCGGGCTGCGCCATCCCCACGGGTGTCGAAGTCCTACTGGCCGCCACGTTGTGGCGCTCTGCTACTTCCACCATCAACGTCTGGCCCCAGCTTCTCGAATGTCACCATCTTGCTGCACTCGACCAGATTCCTCTCGTCCGGGTTGTCCAGGGACTTTGGACCGCGCCATGCTGGTCCTCCGCTACCTCGATCGCGCAACATCTGCGGGCGGCCAAGTTTGGCGACAACTACTCCACCCACAAGGGCACCATCTTCAAGACCATCAAGCGCAGCCGCCGTCACGATCATCTGGCTCACCGTCAGCTACGCCACGCCCATGAACTCGCCCGCGCAGCCGCTCTTCGGGTCATGGACAAACTTCGCCGTGCTGATGATGATCCTCCAAAGAAATCGCCGCAGACCACTTACATGATCACGTTGCAGCGCGTGCTCTACGAGGACTCCTTCGACGCCACCATCGCCGCCCGCCTTCGGGCGTGGTTCCCCACCCTCCCGTCCGCGCCGCTTGCGGCCAACTCCGACTCACGACGCCTCCGACGATTTCCACCCCTTCATCTACAAGTTCCCAACACGCCTGATGATGATGACCACGACATGTGCAACGCAGCCAACGAGCTCGAGACCGTCGCGGAATGCCTGCAGCACTGGGCCTCCGATTGGCTTCCCTCGATTTACCTCGCCCTACCACTACATGAATGGGACGTCGACGATTGGCATGAATGGTGCGAAACATTTATTCTTCGTCTACTGCGACGCGATGGTCTTGAAGTTCTCTTCCGTGGCCAAACTGATGCTCAGCTCCGTGGGCGTGCTGAACGTATCTGTACGCAGGCATGGCAATCGACATCGGCACCCAGACTTCAGACCTCCGCCGCGTTCAACCCTCCCCGCGCCGCCGAATTACAGCAGAGGTTCGAGCGTGCAGCTGCTGAACACCATGCTCGGCGCCGCTGGATCCACGACGCCGATTTCCAAAACAATGACTCGGACTCCACTCCATTGATCACCGATGACCTCACCAACGCGTACGCGGACGACAACGACTTGACCTCCCTCATCCAGTTACCATACAACATGAAGACCGCGTGGAACCGCATCCGCCCGAAGATCGCCGAGTTGCCGCCTTCGCGCTTCTGGCCTGTGATGAAGACGCTTTCGGGCGGGTGGGCCACGTCATACCGCATGCATGTTCAACCTGGCCTTCGTGGTTGTGTTCTTGGCTGCAACCCAAAGTTTCACCCCGGCGCCCTCAGCCACTACCTGGTCTGCAAGCGCTTGTGGCACCATGCCGCATTGCCACGTGGACGTCTTCACAAATGTGTACTTGCCAGGCTTGGCCTTCATGATATCAATTTCGACCCGCTCGGGGCTGACCATGACAGGATTGACCACGTGCTCGTACGGCTTGCAGTGGTCTACCGATTTTACCACTCGACCAAGATCGACAACAACGTCGACAACCCCTACATCACTCACAAGAACTACATGCAGGCTTCGCGGCTCGCCCTGAGGCTTGGCCCGAGCGCGCACGGCGGCGCACGCCCATTATAGATCGACGCGCCTCTCCCAGGGGCTCGTTCGCTCCTCCTCCTCTCCTTCTCCTCCTCCTTCCCCTTGTCCTTCATCCCTTTCCCTTAGTAATAACTCCTCTCTGTCGCACCCCCAGACGTGTCGGTAGAGGGCGGGCCAGGCGTTTCGCCCGAGGTTTCTTCAACGTTTGCGATCTTGAAGTTCGATGGTTGCAATAGTTTCAAGGATGTAAGGCGGGTGGTGTTCAAAATGCGGCTCTCGCTTTTTAGCGCCAGAGGCGTGTAGCCCTGTGAAGGATGTTGGGTGGTGGTTTTCAAAATCTTGTCCCCGCTGTTTAGCGCCGCGCGCATTCGTTTTGAAAGCTTGCAATTCGATTCAAGGATGGAGGGCGGGTGGTTTTCAAAATGTGGCTCTCGCTGTGTAGCGCCGCGCACTCTTTGGAAAAGCTTACACCAGCCTCAAGGATGAAGGGCGGTTCCTTTCTTAAATTGTGGCTCTCGCCGTATCGCCGCGCGCATTCGTTTCAAGGGCTTTTTTGGGCTGAGGTGCAAGAGCGGTGTGCTGGCGCGATTTAGGACTGCCAGGACACAACCGTCACGTTGATTTGTTGTGTTGAAGTCCCAGAAATCGAGTTGTGGTGTGTACGGTCTTGCTGATCGTATGTGTCGTTGTAGTACTGCTGGTGTTCTGGTCCGTGTTGTGCTGTACAGGCAGTGCCTATGTATTGTTATTGTTGGTGTGATGGGTTCCCTTGTTGTTGCTGGAAGGCGGGTCCATTGCGCTTGCCGCAGCTGCTGTTGTTGCTGTTGGTGCTTGCGTGTTGCCTTTGCTTTTACCTTTGGCATGGGAGATTCGCGCATAGCCGGATATTGTGTAGTGAGGTTGTTGTGCGTTGTGTAGTTGATCGAGTAGTCGTCGCGTTGAGTGGAGCTCGTGCTGGATGTGTTAGGCGAGTTAACTTGCGTGCGTGCTGATGCAACCCGTAGTGGTACGCTTGCTGCAGCGCGTCGTTCACTGTCACGCGTATGCCGAGTTGGATTGCTGGTGGTGGTCGCGGTCGTTGAGGTATTGTTGACCATTTTCCATACAGGAGAATGTGTTCGATGAAGGCATAGGATGGGATGTAATAGGTATCAGGATGTAGGGAGGGGTAATGAGAGAGGAATTATGAAACATCGGTTACCGATCTCGTGGCCTGTCAGCGAGCTGCCACTTACGCGCCTCAACCTCTTGGTGGTTGGTGGCTCCTGCTCCTCTTCCTCCTCCTCCTCCTCTTGCTCCTCCTCCTCCTCCTCCCTCCTCCTCCTCCTCCTCCTCCTCCCTCCCTCCTCCTCCTCCTCCTCCTCCTCTTCAGTTCTCCTCCCTGAGGAGTACCGCGTGCTGCAGGTGCCAAGCCCCGGCGTCGTGGGGCTGCCCTCGCCGGACGGGAGCCAGGAGGCCCGCGCGCGCCGGCGGCCACCCGCGGGGCGGCGAGGAGGGGAGGCCATGGTCAACGCTGGCGGAGGATAGGCCGCGGAGGGGCGGCGAGGAGGAGGAGGTGGAGGAGGAGGAGGACGAGGAGGAGGAGGACCAGGTGAAACCCAAGCCTCATCGATAGGGAAACGAAGAATGACGTAAACATGAAGGCTCGGAGGTCCGCGCGGATTTCTCGGATCGGCGCTGGGCCCCCTGGCGGCGCCTGCGGCGCCGCCCCTGGCGCGCTCCGCGCGCCAGGGAGGGGTCCAGAGCGGATCCAAGAAATCCGTGCAGACCTTTGAGTTTTTATGCTTATGTCATTTTTCGTTCCCCAAAGGAGGTTGAGGAGGAGGAGGAGGACGACGACGACGGGGAGGACGAGTGCAAACGCAAGCCTCATCAACGATGTTGGAATGAACCCTCCGTCCAAGCTCCCTTCTCATAGGCCTATACAAAGGCTCATGTCTACAGAAAAGTGCCTCGTTGGGGGACAACCGTTTGAAGATCCGGAAGCGTGCCAAAACACAGCTCTCGGAAATCCAACGCCACGAATGAACATGATTGCGTCTTGATGCCAGAACACCGTTCCTGCGGTTTCAACACCGCGAATCAACGTAATGTGTTCGCCCTCACAATCCTGAACCATTCTAGAATACCATTTCTGGCACGTTGGCCATGGGATTTCAGGGAATGCTTACAAATGTGTAATACGAATGCGCGCGGCCCGAGGGCGAGAGCCACAGTGTGAAAAGGAACCGCCATCAGTGCGTGAAGCTCGCGCAACTTGTTCAAACGAATGTGCGCGGCGCTGAAGCGAGAACGACATATTGAAAACGACCCGCCCTCAATCCGCGAAGCTCGTGCATTTGTTTAAGGAGCGTGCGCGGCGCCACGGCGAACGCAACATTTTGAAAACCACCCGCCCTCAATACGTGAAACTTCTGCACTGTGTTAAAGGTGCGCGACACTATGATTATAGCCACATGTAAAAAACGACTCGCTCTGAACCGTTGAAGCTCTTGTAAATTTGTGAGAGGATCTGCGCGGCGCTGAGGCGAGAGCCACATCTTGGAGGCGACCCGCCGTCATTTTGTGAACCTGCTGACGGCTCCGAAGCTTCAGGGTCGTAAGTGATGAGGAAGTCTCAGGCGAAACGCCCCGCCCGCTCTTTCGACCCGCTCCAGGGTGCGACAGGGAGGCGTCATTAATAAGGAAAATGGAATGGAGGAGGAGGAGGAGGAGGAGGAGGAGGAGGAGGAGGAGGAGGAGGAGGAGGAGGAAGAGAAGGAGGAGGAGGAGGAGGAGGGGGAGGAGGAGGAGGAGGAGGAGGAGGAGGAGGAGGGGGAGGGGGCGGGGGTGGTGGGGTGGAGGTTATGACGCAACGGCCTCGTCGTTCATGTTTTCCGAACGTCAAGACAGGGAGTGAAGAAAAGGAGGATTGGGAGGAGGAGGAGGACGATGACGAGAACGAGGAGGGAGCCCCTCGAGAGCGGCGGCGGGCAGGGCAGCGCCCACGGAGGCGGCGAGACCCTGGCGCCCGGTCCAGCGCCGCGAGAGCGGCGGCCTTCGCGCGCAAAGGGTCCAGCCTGCTGTCTGGGCGGGCACCTGCCAGTGGACGCATCGACCCCCAATCACCCACTGATACCCGATGGCCGATGGGCCCGATGGCCCACCCTCCCTGCCCCAAGAGCGTGCGGCATCGCTATCGGGGGCCTATCGCCAACCTATCGGCGATGCCTCGCCGATTCCAGGTCGGCGACGGCTCGCCGATTCCAAGCCGACGTTCCCCCCTGAGCTGGGCGCGCGCGCGCGGGGTGGTCGCCTCTTCCCGAAGAGCTGCCGTCTTCGGGGCGGCGCTGGAGGGCGGGCGGGACGTGCTCGGTCGCGCCGCGCGCCGCCCCCTTGCTCCGTGGATGGACGCAGCGCCGCGGCAGAGGCGGCCTCGCGGCTCTGCGCCCAGTCGCCGACAGGCGCGAAGGAGCGGTTGAACGTTCGCGGCGCCCTTCGGAGCGAGAATTCGGCGCCGGAGCGCCACGTCGCGGAGTTGGGCGTCGCGTTGTTCAACGCAATTGCGTCGCCAACGACTGCGCGTCTGCGCCGCGGCCTCTCGACGGTGACAGCGGATGCCGTGCTCCCAGTGCTGGCGGGCCGCGTCGTCGAGGGCCTGCTCGCTGTCTTGGCAGTCCAAGGACATAGTTCGAGAGGGCCGCGTCTGCACGAGCCGGGCGCTGCTGCTAGTGGGCGGCGCGAGCGCCGCCCACCTGGGGCCGCTGGGCGACGCTGAGGAGTTGGCCGATCACGCGTACAAGGGGTTGTCCACGGGCGCGGCTTGCCCTTTAGCGTCCCGCCTGCGACTGTGAATTTGGCTGGGTACTGCGACTTCAGTGGGGTGCTGACGTACCGCTCCGACAAGGAATGCGATGTCGTTCTCGCGTCGGCCGCGCGCGCCAGGCGCCGGGCTCTGCCGGTGAACGCGTGGCGAAGTTGTCCGAGGACGACGTTTCTTCGTTGGCGCGCAGTCTAGCGGGGGAGTGGCCAGCCGCCCTGGCGACGCCGCCGCCGGACTCTCCCCAGACTCCCGCGCCTGCCAAATCCGCGAAGGACCTGGACAGCGAATATTGGTCGGAGTGTCGCGCGCGGAAAGTGCGGTTCCTTGGGTCCGAGCCATTCTCCCTCCTTGCGTCCGCCGATGCGCTGGTTTCTCTCCCGAATTTGTGCTGGCCGAGAAGCGCGGTTGCCAGCTCCTAGCTCTGCCAGCGCACTTGCGCATCGAGCTTTGAGGCCCAGGCTCGCGCAGGCTCCGTCGGGTCATGAGCCGCGTTGACAACGACTCGTCGCCGAGTCCGACGGGCTCGGGCTACGGCGCGCAGTCCGCTTGGAGGCGATGGCGAGAGTGCAGAAACCCAAAAACCTGTCGTCGCCATCAACACTCAATCACCACAGCCCGCAACTATCCATCACAGCGCAGTGGCGGTGGCACTGCTCTGGCTTCCTGGTGCCCGATGGTGTCCCCATCGTACTCAGCGCCGCCCAGTTCGAGATCGCTACTGGGATCGATCGCTGGATCCATCGATAGAAAAACTGGTTGTGAGGTCGATCGTGAGATCGATCGAGTGAGATCGGTAGCGGGGTCGCTAGTGACACCGCATCGCGGCACAACATCGTCACCACGCGTCGTCGCCGACGCGAGGGCGAGCCACCAGCACCGTCATCATCACAGCCATCGCAGTTGCCAGCAATTGGTTTCTCCCCCTCCCCCGACCTCCTCATCACTTGGAAGGTGGTCGTGCATCTACGGATATGTCCGCCTTTCGTGAGCAATGTCGGGTGCCGCCTGCTCTTTGCGAAAGAAGAAAGACATAGCACAACACTGTCACGTCATCAGGGGCACCTGTCCCAGAGCGGCTGGAAAGTTTATGCCCCCGCGCGGCTGGAAGGTGTTATTCCCACTCTCGTGCCGCCGGCGGGGCGCAAATCTTCCAGCAGCTCTGGGACAAACGTCCCCGGTGACGGAACACGATGTTATACCATGCTCCGCCCGCTGAAGTCGTCTTTCCCTTCTTCCCGCTCTTCGTACAGTCGTCTTCGTCGTTTGTTATTCCACCTTGCACTTGGGCGCGTTTGCGACGGTAGAACTGTGTAAGGAGGACATGATGGAAGCGGCAAGCGGGGAAGAAGGCCACATATTTAGCGGCACCCGCGCTTCCGATGTCGATGTTCGCAGGCGCACGTGCGGGAAAGGGCGCGGGAGTTTCGTATGAGCGGCGTGAGCTCTGTGTTGCACATGGTTCGCGCCAATCCTTTGGACTGCGCAGCGTTCTAGGACCAGGGCAATCTTTCCACAGCGCTTTCAGAGCATTCTGGAGGGCTCTGGAACGGCCATGGCGCCCGATGCACCCTCCAGAGCCACCGGGTCTCAGGGATCCCCGGCCCATCCCAGTCCGAGTTTCTCGTGGTCCCTGCTTCGTTTCAGGACCCTCCTAGCCCCGCACAGCCACCTCCGCCTCGCAGCTCAGGGCGTGTGGTACTTCCCCGACCGCCTGGTGCACCGCGTGGACGAGCCCATGGTCCGCACGAGACCCTCGCTGTGACCCTCGACCTTCCCCCCAGTCCCGTCCTCCACGCGCGAGGCCGCCGACTGCAGCTATCCCCCCGCCCTCTTCCATATCTCACGCAAGATTCACATGTATCGCAGCACGTACGCATGCATTCTGTACACGACAGTGCATTTCCATGCGTTCAGTTGTATTGATACGGTGAGTCTTGATACGGTGACTACCTGTACACAGAGAAAACTGACCTGACACAACTCCCGGCCCGTCCGGGGAGCCTGCTTCTGGAGCGCCCCAGGAGGGCCCAAGACGGCCCCTGACGGCCCCAGCAGGGCTCAAGACGTCCCCGGAGGGCCCCAGGAGGCCTTAGGAGGGCCCGGCGAGCGCCCCCAGACGGCCACGATGGGCCGAAGATGGCCCAAGATGGACCCAGGATGGCCACTCGACGGCCCAACGGGCTCCCCAGATGGCCCAAGTTGGCTTGAAAGTGATTCCCAAGAGGCCCCCTGGAGGCACAAATTGTTGGTGTTCCTCAGGTGTCGATGCCATTCTCGCATGCTCGACTTCTCGGTCTCGAGAGCGCCCGAGACGGCCGAAGAGGCCCTCGACATCGCTCCAAGATGGCCCCATCGGCGCCCAAGAGGGCCCCAAGACGAGCCCAGGAAAGCCCAAGAGGGGCCCAAGACGGTTCCAAGACGCTCCAAGAGGGCCTCCAGAGGAGCTCCAGACGGCCCAAGAATTGAGTCGGGCATGTCGCTCTACAGCAGGAATAGTCAAACATAGTTTGGGGACGATTGTTTCATAGTTTTTGGGCTTTGGAGTATGGTTAGACTATTTTTTATGTTTCGTCCAAAACGCGCCCGTAGGAGGACACGCCCGACGTAACCCAATATTGTCTCAAGATAGCCCAACTGGGCCCCCAGACCGCCCAAGAACAGTCCCAAGAGGCCCCCGATATTGCCCTGAGAGACAAAGACCGCGCGAGAGGGCCCCAACGACGGCCAAGGAGGCCCCCAGGACGGTTTGAGAACTTGGTCAAGAGACCCCGAAGAGGGCCCACTGTTCCTGCATTAGTATGGCGACGGTGCGAAAATCAATATATCCATATATATATATGTGTATGCACATACATATGCATATATATATATACATATACATATATACATATATATATATATATAGATGCTTCATGCACGTCTGCATACATACATGCATACATACATACATATATACCCACATACACACATAATTATAGTCATAGACACATTCGTATATACATACAGACATACACACATACACGCATACATACATAGAGACACGCAGACAGACGGGCAGACAGAAAGGCAGACAGGCATACACGCTGCCATTCACACGTACGTACGTATGCATGCATGCATGCACGCATGCATATATATATATATATACACATAATACGTATACATCCGTGCATACACACATGCAAACATAATCCTTACATGCATACAAACATGCATACATGCATGCTTGCATGCATATATCCATACAGTTTTACATACACGCAAACATACATGCTGGCATGCAAACATACACTCACACAGTCATGCACATATCTATATATGTGTGTGTATCTAGATAACCGGAAGAATGAGAAAGAGAGAGAGGGAGAGAGAGAGCGAGACGTCGACACATATACATACAGAGAGAGGACAAACAAGCCAAGGCCTGATGATGAGATGAGCCTGGAGTGTGCTCTGCATTGGTGTCTCGCTCGTTCGATCGCTCCCTTTCCGTCCTTCTCAAGGGGTTGGGGATTGGGGGGTGGTCGAGGTTCAAGGGTCGAGATTGCTCGCCGCGCTTAGGCCTCTGGAGACCCTCCAGGGGCTCATTGAGGCCGTCAGACTCCAGAGAGCTCTGGGTTGGGGATGGGGAGGGGGCGGTCGGGCGGGGCTAGAACGAGGATCAATCCGTTCCAGAGCGTTCCCGAACGCTCTCAGAGCGTTCCTCAACGCTCTGGGAGAACGCTCTGAGAAGGCCGCTGCGCCTGAGATTTCCTCCAGAGCCGTCGAATCACAGATACTTTCGATGTATTCTCACCCGATTTTGTCATCCTCGTACTGGCTTCGTCTTAGGCTGGGACCTGGTTCGCGGTCGTCGTGCCACGGGCCCCAGGTCCACCCCCTCGTGTCTCCGCAGAAGCTCTTCTCCCACGGCGAGACGCGGATGTCCTGCTTCCCGCTGGTGGCGCGCCACAGCTTAAGCTTTCCCCCCCGCTCGCTGCCGCAGCCCCCCCCCCGTCCCCCACGCCCGCCCGCATTTGTGCGGGCGGTTGGCTTCCCAGTCAGCGGCGAACGAGCAACACACACCCATAACCATACGGGGGTCAGAGAGGGCTATGGGTGCGTATTGTCGGATGGGGATTCCCGCTCGAACGGAAGCGTCACCCAGGGTCCACAAACCCGCGCCCATACCCATAGCCAATCCTCTTCCTAACGACCCCCCTCGGGGTATGGGTGTGTGTTGTTCGTTCGTCAATCAGATCATCGGATTGATTCGGAACACAGAACGTTGGTGCGACAAGTGTTTGGAACTCCAGTGGGTATTCAGCACCAGGTCCGTCCTGCCACAGCGAACAGGCTACCACTGCGGGCAAGATGCGGAGGAGGAGGAGGAGCAGGGGAGGAGAAAGAGTAGTGATGAGGAGGAGGAGGTCAAAGAGGAGCAGGAGGGGGACGGGGAGGAAGCGGGTGAGCAGGCAGAGTGGGTCATTGAGGAGGAGATGAGGGACAAGGATGTAGGGTGGAGTTTGACATCGGATAGTTGGAGTCTGGCGTACAAGTGAAGCGATGAGCATGATCAGCAACAACCAGCGAACAGCGAAACCACAACATTATCTCGTGATTGGCCGAGCAGCCGCGACATGAGGAGGATGAAGGAATACGAGGAGGAGGAGGAGGAGGAGGAGGAGCAGGAGGAGCTGGAGGGCCTACTGACCATTCTCTTGTGAATCAGGGGCTGCTGACGCCACAGATGCAACACCTCAAGGCGGGCCAGCACACGCAGTGCCTTTTCCTTTGTCTTCCCATCGTGCGTGCGCCTCGCCTTCCAAGCCGGCCCGAAACGAAAGCGATAACGAGGATCTGGCACAGAAGCCACGTTGTCTGGACATTCAATGGAGTCTTCTGGTGTCGGGCTTGTGAGGGTTACGGCACCACCTCCTTAAAGATGCTCGGAGTGCAGTGCAAGCCAGAGACCCTCACCTAAGGTGCCAGACGTCTCGCTTTGTTCCCTGGAACAGGAGCAATTGCCAGTGGGCGTGAAGGAATGGGCTCAGCCAGACGATCTGGGACCCCCGAGGCCCACTGTTTTTGTTTAGTGGCCAACGAGTCACAGCGGCCCCTGTCAGAGGAACTGGCCGCCAAGGTAGGTAAGAGGTAAGAGGGCAAATGTGGAGCCTGGCGGTCTCGATCGCCATGGCGCCCTCGACCCAGCTAGACTTGCAGGCCTCACGTCAGTCCAATGCTGCACGGCTGGCGGTGCCCTTATTCGGCGGCCACGCGCTCCCGCGTCACAGGTGCGCGGTGGCCTCTGCCGCTGGCGGGGCGGTCTCCGAGGGGAGGGCGGTGCCCGGGGGGCGGGGAGCGGGGAGCGCCGCAGGGGCGCTGGTGTCCACGATCGTGCTCTAAGCCTCCTAGATGGGGTCCGAGTAGATGGGGTCGGAGGATCGCGCCGCATCGCTGATGCATCGCCGATGCGGCTCGATGTAGAGCCCGATTTACTCCACGCCGGCGTCGCCGATGCACCGCCGACGTCGCCGATGCATCGGCGATGCGGCGGGATCTTACGACCCCATCTACTCGGACCCCATCTAGGAGGCCTCTACAGGCATAGCCGGAGGACAGGGGGCACGCGCTCTGCCTCCAAGGGCGATCTTGCTGCTAGCGCCAAGCCGCTCTACATTCGGACCGAGGTCTAAGATCGAGGTCGGTTCGGGCAGGGTGCCCTAGTGTTCTTCGTGTTTGTTGACGGCTGTTCTTGTGCACCCTGGGGAGGGTACCCTTGGCTGTTCTATGTTTTAGCCGACAGAGGGTCCCCATGTTTTTGAAGGAAGTTCTTCTGGCCCACGTCCGACTGTCGCGACAGGCCGCTCTCGACCCGACGCTGCACGTGTGGCGCGTTGGACGGCTCTGGCGGGACAGGTCAGCGCTGCCGACGGCGTGAGGGTGGGCCGTGGGGGCGGCGGCGAAAGAACGCGGCAGGGCACGTGCCGCCCAGTCGCGGCGGCGGCGCGGGCAGCGGCGCTCCAGGGTCGAGGGCGCTCTGTGGTGGGGGCCTCTTTCGGGGCCCCTGGGCCAGCAGGAAGCAACGCACGGCCCCGTGAATCGGGGCTCAAGAGGCGGGGGCCGATGCAAACCGGGGGTCGGTCAGAGCGCTGGATCCTGCAGGGTCAGGGTTGCACTGACCCCGGCTTGGGTGCAGGAGCCTGCAGGATCTTGCAAGATCCTGCAAGGCCTGACTCCGTATCCATTTTGGCTCGAGTAAAATATCTTTCGAGGTTGGTCCAGGGTGACCCCTACTCGAGGGTAACCCCCATTCGACGCCTTGGGGGCGCCCCAAGACTAGGGCCTCTGTTTTTTCCATTCTTGTACACCCGCATTGTACACATCCGCATTGTGCCGCGTATTGCAAAACAAGATTAGCTGTTCCTGTCTTCCTCGGTGCGATGGGTCGCAGGGCTCAGGCGCGCAAGACTTGTGACAAGTCCATGGGAAGAGAGGACCGTCGGTCTCGTGGTGAGCGCCGTGCAGATCATGAGCGTGAATAGTCGTCCTCGTCGCAGGGTTCTTGTCGTCACACTCCAGCAAAGTAGCGTCAGAACAGTCGCAGCGGTTCGGGTAGATCGACTGACTATACTCGCGGAAGCAGCTCGACATAATCGAAGATTGGCACGCTCGTTGGCAAGATGGAGTCCCTCTCCCAGCTGGTCGCCAACCAGTCGTGGACATGCACTCCCTCAAGGATGCCTGCAAGGCATCGGTTGACTGCTGCGTGACGTTTGCGGACCAGATGAGTGCCCCTTTCGCCATCAGGAGCTTCAATCATCGGTGGCCGCTTTTCTGAACACGGTGGGCTACAGGATGGAGGAGTTGCGGCGCGAGTTCGCTTCCCAGGCCTCGGGTGGCGACGCTGGGATAGGCTCCGGTCACCCCGACCTCCAGGCTAAAGTTGGCACGATCGAAGGTACTCTGAAGGACCTTCTTGGTCGCGAGAGAGTTGCTGAACAACAAGTTGCTACCGGCCTTTCGACACCGACGCCGCCAGATTCACCGCCTGGTGGTAGCCGCACCAAGCTGAAGCTGAATGCCAAGGATCAGACGTGCAAGCTGGTACTGCTTGGCTTTCCCCGGCGTGTGCTGGCGAATGACCTGCGCTCCATTGGTTGGGAACGCCTGCCCGCGCGCGCTCGCGCCATCCGCTGAGGTTTCCAATATCATCGTTTGCGAATCTGGTCTGAGCAAGCAGGCCATGTTGCACTTCGAGACCGCGCTGCAGGCATCCTCGTTCTTGGACAACTTCTACCGCGCCAGCGGGGTCTGGGGCGTCGCTGATCCGCTGCACTCCATGACGCAGCTCACACTGAGGCTCTGCCGCGACCTTGGCTTCCAGGGTCGCCATTGTTTTCTTTCGCTAGGCCAGGTGCGTAGCCAACTAACTGACCTGATGCGGAACCGCGGCTATAAGGTCGGGGGCTCTGGGCTTGGCGGTTGCGCGCGCACCCTTCGTTGCCAGCGTGACCCAGCGCCAGCAGTCAACGTTTCAGTCAGTGGCAGCGGGAATGTCGAGACGGAGATCATTCGCGACACACGCTGTTAGAATTCGGCATCGCGCAGCACGCAGCAGCTCTGGAGCAGGCCGCTCAGGTCCAGCTGCGTCGCCCCTTTCGACGCTGACACAGGCCGGCCCTGCGCCGTAGGCAGTTCCTATTATGTGGTGGCGCCTGCCTCGTCGGCGCGACAGGAGTCCTGCATTTCCTCTCCTCCCCCCCCCCCCCCCCGTGCTGTGATCGCGGGGATGCGATGCCGATCTTCATGCCTGCCCCTCCTCTATCGTTCTGTACCTGGAACTGCGAGGCGCCCATGGGTTTGGCCCGTTCTACTAGCGCTAGCGCGTCTGAGAGAGACTTGACATACATCTCATTGCGCAAACAATGCGACATCGCAACCACACGGGAGACGCACGGTCACACCGGCGATGCCAATACATTGGGACGAGAATTCCGAGCGCGCAAGTTTGGCCCCCCTTTCTTCGAGGACTCCAACAGCGAGGGTGGGGTCATGACTGCTACTTCTCCATATCTGCCCTCTCAACTCCAGGAGATTCGGCATCCGCCGCTCATCGCACGTAGCATTACCAAGAGTATGCGTCTGGGCCCCGCAGGCAATTCGGTCGCGCAGATATAAAATATTCATGTACCCCACACTTGTGGCACTATATCTATATACGCTGGTCTTCTTGGCTCGCTGCAGCCAGATTTTCGTTCGCGCGTGGCCGGCGGTGACAACTGTCTGGCCCTCTGCATTTTGTCGGGCGGCTTTAATTTTGTTCTGGAAGAAGGGGGGCGGCTTAGAGGAGATGGGGGCGGGCGGTCTCATGGCGACGCGTCTCGCGCGAGGTTATTCCACGAGCTCTTCCCCCACGTCATCGAGATCTGTCAAGACCAGGACGCGCGTCGGGGTAGCAAAAAGGTGAAGCGGCCCACGTCGCTTCCAGGATCGATCGCCCGCGCGCTTTCCTCCCCCCCGCCCTTCTTCGGGATGTGGCGTCTCGGGCTGGGGTCTTCCGTTCCGTAGGGGGTTTCAATGCTAGCGATCGCATTCCTGTGGTGGCCTCCCTGGAGCAGTTGCTTCTTTCGTCTCGGCGCCCTGCTGTCTCCCACCCTGCCCAGCATCATTGCGTCTTGCTGCCCTCCGTGCCCTTCGCCTCGGGCATGCGAGGCGCCTCCGTCAAGCTGCGGGGTGCTATCCTCGGGCCCGTATTCCTGTTAATGCGGATCTAAAGGAATGTGCACAGGTCGACGGTCTCTGTCAACCTGCGCAAGCCCGGTATAACAACCTATTCTACGATGAGGAGGGTGAGGTTTTAACACCTGGGCTTCATCGTGATCGCACGCGCGCGCTGCGTGCTCCTAACCGCCTCCAGAAGGAACTGTACAGTAAGTTTCGCAAGCGCACATACCTCTC